AAGGGTCAGTCAATATGACGAGATTTCCTACTGTCTTGTTCAAATAACAGAGTAACGACATTTTCATCCCTTTTCCATCCCTTTTACGTCTCTTTTACGAAATATAAAATAGACGACTTGTTCTCGAGAGGAAATCCGGGATAGAAAATGAACAAATATTTTAATTACGAATACCAAATAAAACTTATTAGCAAAACTTACATCATTTTTTCGTATAAAAATCATCTGGAAATTTTGAAATTTTATTAAAATACATAACTCTTCATTTAATTCTTTTCTAAAAAAAATATATCTCACAAGTTTAAAATTTAAATATATGCATGCAGATTAAATAGATGTACCCAAAAAAAGATGAAAAATTCTTTTAATTAACAATACTTTTTTATGAAAAAAAAATGTTACGGGTCTTGTCATAATTTTTTTTGTTACATCAATTTAATTTCCACAAGGCTTTTAAATTATATTCTACATTTTAAATTTGAAAGATATATTTTATATATATATATATATGAAAAAAAGAAAAATTAAATAAAAAGTCGTAGTCTTTAAAGAGAGGATTTACAGACAATTTTCTAGAAAAATTAAAATCAGAAACAATATTTATGTTAGAGAATGTAAATATTTTCTACATTTTTCTTTTTTTAGTTAGTGTGAAACATTAGATCTCGATTACATACACTTGCTACTCAACGAGAAGATTCGTTCAATATTTATAAGAACCCTGTTTTTATCTTTTTCATGAAAGATTTTTCTTTCTCGGGTACTTTTCCGACAGATCAAAATCGTTCTTTCACCTTTATTAAGATATACAAGAAATATAGAACGTTTAATTTATACGCGATATAAAAAGATGGAAAAATATGAGATGTTATATACAATTTTTATGAGAAGAAATAACTTTTCTTTAAAGTTTTATAACGAAGAAGTTACGATAAATAAATGAGTATACTTAAAAGAAGAAGATACACTTCTCTCGATTGTACCGAACTTATTTTTCAAATATAATAATTTCTCTTAAAAGATCTTACTCTTAGTTTAATCGATAAAGACAAACTTTCAACGAAATAATAATAATTATAATAAAAAACATTTAACCCTTTGACTGCTAAAGACGTATATATACGCTCTCACAAATCCATCAATATACACAAAAGGTGTAAATATACGCCCTCTGTATTTTTTTACTATATAACACCTTTATATTACTGTATTAGCGATTAATTTAACATGGAATTTATTGTGATATGTAACATAGCAAGTAAATATTGGCAATTATTTCAATGTCGTTTAGTTAATTGCTTTTATATTTGAAATTCGTCTATTTCCATTTTATTATCTTTATTCGTTCATTATTGTTTTATTATTTTTATAATTAGGTTAAAATTATTCAAATATCCTGTTGTTAAAGTTATTATACTCTGTGTTACATTATAAATATTGTATTTTTTCTTTTATATTTAAAATACCGATTATTATTGAAAGAATGCACAAAATAAATAAAGTAAATTAAAACAGCTTAAAAAATTACTTTAAAAAAATGAAAAAAAAATTCATATTTTTATTTTATTTGCCATTATTATCTGTTTTGGTCAGTAGTCAATCGAAAAACAGTCGCAGCAACTGACATGTGAAAACTGACATGCGAAAATCGCGCCGTTCATATTAATGGATTGGTTCGAGAGCACGCCGCAGTCAAAGGGTTAAAACAGTGAGAAAATGCATTATTTGAAATACACCTAAAACATCTATAATTCCTAAAAAAATAATTAACATAAATGAAAAATATTATTCATATTTTATAAAGATTACAACTAATGAACTTTCTCATAATGGCGATACGAGAAATTCGCAAGAATATAAAGAACGTACTATTATACATTTTAACTTTGCATAAAGTCTCCAAAATGATGTATCATGTAATTACTTTTCGTCATTGTAAAAATCGATGTGAATTATAACACAGAATTGTTAACACTAAACGTACCATCAAAAGAATATAACATCTTTTAAATAATTCATTATTAGGTCGAGTCATAAGTAACTTCCGATGCGTCTATGTAGAATCTATTTATCGTATTTACTTACTATAAGTAACCGAAACAAACGGATTTTTCAATATCACTACATAGATGAGGATTCAGTTAGTCTTCTGTCAACTTTTTTATGTAGTCAATGTTACATTTAACCATTTTTCTTAACCACTGAAATGGATAGTAAAAAGTGCATATTCGATATGTAATGCTTTAGGAATTGAAACAAGGCAATAGCACTAAAGTGGCAGCTGAAAAAATATGAAGCGTATACAGTGCAGGACTGATAACTGATAGGGCAGTCAGAAATTGGTTTGTAAAATTCCGTTCTGGAAATACGACCTTAAAAGACGAACCGAGTGCAGGACGTCTTTCCAACTTTGATAAACCTTTTAAAGGTAATATTGGAGCAAAATCCAATAGATACGTTCAACAATTGCAAAGAGTGCAAAAAAAAACACCATAAAAGGTGTCTTGCACTTATCAGTCGCAGAAACACCATTCTTTGTCTCATAAAAAACGGAAGTTATCTATGACTTGACCTAATATTTGAATTTACCGTAAAAATAAGTACACGTATATTGTCGATAAGTTTAGTGTTAAACTTGTATCTCATGCGTTTCTACGGGCATCCTATGCATTTCCATTAACACCGAAAGTACAAAGTATTTAACGATACGAGCCGAAGGGATTAGGATCATGATGAAGTCAGGCGGAAAAATGAACAAAAAATAAAAACAAAAAGGGGAGAAATAAAATTAAAAGAGAATTGTTTTAAAAAGGCTGATGTTTTCAGTTTATAATCTCGTATAAACCTTTATATATATATATGTAAAAGAAAAGAATTTCTCTTGGAGGAGAATTCATTCTTTTTTCCAAAAATATATCGAGTAACTAGCTTATGTTTCAAGTATACGAACCCGTTCCTTCGATTTATTCTTCAATGTAAGACACAATACTGAAAAGTAAACGATGAGAAAATATCGATCGGTAAAAGCCGCTTACTATCAGCCCCCGATAGGTATTATATAGAAGAAAATATAAAAAAAAGAAAAGAAAGAAAGGAAAAAAAAATATAAGAAGAATAAGGAAAATGGAGCAGAAAAAAGCGTATCGAGGATTAGCATAGCTTTCCGTGTAACACATTAGTTTAAACTCGGACAAAATCGCACTCGAATGAATTTTTGTATCTAATCCGCGCGCTAATACGTGACTGCCAATGCGGTGTAGATATTTTTTTTGTTCTTATCTCTAGAAATACATACTCACAAAAAAAGAATCAATAGAACAATAAGAAATAAAATATAGAATAACGGATACAACGGTTATTTGACGAATTTTATATTTGTTCTGACGCTGAGCTACAAAATCATCACCATCACCACCACCACCACCATCACCAACATCATCTATCTCCACATCTTTACATTTGTTTTTTTTTTTGTTTTTCTAAACGATACATATAAATTATGGAGGGTAGAGGTAAGGAGTAACATCTCTTATGGGAGAAAATGTGAAAAAGTGTCCAGCGTTTTCTATAAATAATAGTTCAAAAATCTTCCAGAATGGCGCTGGTGAACGTAGTAGATATGGTATGAATGTAGCAATTGTAAACGAATTGAAGTATGCCAAGTTATGTAATAATGTAGTAAATATAACCTCAAAGAATTATTATGAGAAAACGTGTAGGTAGAGTGATTTTATTTCGTGAACCGTAAATAGTACGTTTATTGATTTTTTATCATTTAATTTTATGAAAAAGTATGTGAATAACAAAGCAGTTATGGATAAAATTTGTGTTGTGAAATTTGTGTTCCTTGTTTATTTCTCAATCCTACTCTAATAATATTTGGCGCTTCTTTTAAGATTTATCCTCAATCTACTGTGGCGCCACCCGAATTGAATGCATTTCGACGAACACTTTTCATATACAGAGATGTTACTCCTTACCTCTACCCTCCATAATATAAATATATATATCATGGTTCTACCGAAGCAGTGCTTACTAAAATTGCCAGTGAAACATGCTGCTGTCTCATTCTAAACGCCATATTCGGTAGGTCGCAAACGTTTTGCTATACGTGAACGACGTACCGAATAGAAAACAATTGTATCCTTTGAAAACCCAATGCACCGACAAACCATTTAAACTAGAGAGAACGTGCTTAGGCGGCACATCGTGCAATTATGGTGTTTCATTGGTGCATACGATCGATGGCAGTCGATTTCTAGGTCGACTCCCTCAAACGTTTTCATAATTATATATCATTCTCCCATTTTCTCATATTCCTAATATGTTGCAAAAGTTTTTAATTGAATCATATTAAAAAAATTCTCTATGAAATTGCCAAAGACCGTATCCGTTACCCTGGATCGTCGAACTTTCCATTAATCTATTATTTTTCTAAATCGTTCGTCCTTCATTTATTAATATCAGAGAACATAGTATTTTTCAATGAAATTGGAATCGATTAGAAACAGAATTTATCCTCTAGTCGGAGACATTTCTATTTGATTATTTAATCAATATATATATGTCGAAAAGGAAAGAGAGAGAGAGAGATTAATTATCTAATACTTCAGAAATTTCTTTCAGTCTCCGACGAAAGGTAGATGAATGAAAAAAAAAAGGAAAAGGAGGTGGAGTAGGAGGAGGAGCTGGGGCCCACCGTGTTAGCAGTAACGATTCGCGCATATCAAGATCGCACGCGATTTGTTAATTGGAACAAAATGATTAGTTAAAGCACCAAAAAAAAAAAAAAAGAAAAAAAGAGTAAAAGATATTATTAGGCTTTCTCGTTAGTAGTACGACGCGCAGAGCTTCGTTCATTCACACACGCGTTCACCAATACATTCAATCCACAATGCAGTAATCTCTAAAACGATTAATTAACCGTTTAATCATCTAAAAAAAAAGGCCACACGAGCAACACAACACTCTTCTCTATTTGTTAAGATTAAAACACTTACTGAATCTTCTTATAAGATTTCCGGTGAAGGAGTCAGCGACAGGCGCAGTGTTATCCTCGCATCTTAGGTCGCAAACGGTTGTTCCATCGGTTTTCTGGTATTTCAGATTGGGCACGGATAGCAGACGTCCCTCTCTCTTACTTTGCATCCCCATCACTATCCTCTTCAATCGTGGCCTTCGATCATTCTCGTGCAAGGACAATTCTAATGGTCTCACCGCCATCGTGTTCGTATTAGTAGTACTACTCGTAGTATTAGTTGTCGTAACGTTAGTTACTGTTTCATTACGTTCAACGTTTTGTCTCTCGCTTTCGTTATCTGCGTTTTTCGTCGTATCATGAGAACAAGAAGAAGCTTGAGGACTCTCGCGACCCGAAGTATTCGCGCAGAGCTCGTCCTCCTCCGTCTCAAGACTTTCGACCGGCGAAAGGACTCTCGAGGACTCGTTGACGTTGCAATAAAAAACGGAAGAACTCTTCTGAGTAGCACTCTCGCTGCCTACCTGCTGGAAATGGGGTACTCGTATGAACTTTCGCTCGATCGACCGAAACCCGTTAAGACTGAACCTCCTTTTAATGTAGAAATGACCACCACCAATCTTCCACGTCCTAGCTATATATATATATATCTATTTAGGTGTGCCAATTAATTCGATGATAGCCAAGGAATTCTATTAAATTAGTTAGAAAAGACAGAGAATGAATGAACACCTATATAGATAGAAATATAGATAGAAAGATATTCCCGTATATAGGTCTGACACAGTATCAACCCACTTTACACCGCTTCTTTCAACAGCTAGTTAGAAGAAGATCCCGAGAATGAATCGACATGTGGCGTGAACAAGGTCGAGATAATTGACAGCGATGGCCTTGAAAAGTAGACGCTTTCGAAATTGGACAGATGGAGAAAGAGAGAAGAAGAAAGAGATAAAAATAAAAATAAAATGAAAAATAAAAAAGAAAATAGGGACAGACGGAAAATACGATTTGATCGTACGGTAAGGTGAGTTTTCCGTCGTGTAAGCGCATCTTAAGAAGAACATACAAGTACCCCATTCTGAGATGACACCAAGGACGACGCAAATGTATTCTTTATCTTGAGATCGACTTTGCTGAGTTGGCGTTTAAGACGAAAACCCTTCCAACCATGATTCTTCGGACTATCCTCGCCATTCGATGTTGTTGAACTTCCTAAATGGGATTTGGCCGAGGAACCCTCGCTAGTAGTCGATTCCTCGGTCAATTTTTCAACAACGTTGCTTCCAATAGTGCAACTCGAATCACGTGGCGATGCCCGCTGGTATTGAGAATGTTGCTGTTGCTGTTGCTGTTGCTGTTGCTGTTGCTGTTGATGATGAGAATCTGGTAGCAGCATCGTTAATACTGGCTCGCTCTCCCTCGTCGCTTCCGGCTGAGTCTGATGGATTCAACATGTTGGGCTTTGTACAATTAATCGGTTCATTAGGTGGAAAAGACAGAACATTCGTTCTACGACTAAAAGCAGGCACAATCCAATCGTATTATGTGTAGCGGGTGGTCTCTTTTTTTTGTTTTGTTTCTTTTCTTTATATATATATATATCGCTCCCACAATTAAATCACGCTTCAACGAGAAAGCCGCAACGATTTCTACTTAGTTAACCCTTTCGCCACTACGGGCGACTATAGTCGCTCTCCATAAAATGCTACTGACGTGCTACGGGCGACTCTCTGAAGTCGCTTTACATAAAATGTCGCGCATTGTACATTGTATAATACATATGACGTACGATTAGAGTTACTTCAAGTCAAGTTTAATAAAAAGTTAATATGTTTAAATGTTATAAATATTTTAATTTGTAGAGTTTTTTTTTCAATAAACACCGTCAAACTAACTCGGGTTGCCGTGAAGCATAAACGCGGCCGCTGTCGATTTTACTCGAGCACCGTGCACATTTTTGGCGCGGCGGCACGTTCAGCGAAAATACCACGGCGGAGAAGTCGCTCGTAGCGAAAGGGTTAAAGTATTGAAATGTGCTTCCTTATACTTGTGATCGCGTTGGATAAACGTGAATACATGTTTTTCTCGTGTATATATTATAATTTCGTATCACGCTCTGTGGATTACTATTATATCGGATTATGAGGAATAATGTCTTTTTCTTTCAACATTCCATCCAGAGAAAAAGCCTAATTATTATTAATTATATTTTCAATAGCATTTTGGTGCACCTCTTTAAATACACGTTTGTGAAATAACAATTTATACATTTTCTATTGAAATATTGAAAAGAAAATTCAAAGCAACGGCCACACTCGATTCAATGAATCTTGGTTAGATGTACAAACATTCTGAATAGTGTTGTTTTGCGGGTATTATTCGCTATTTGCTATGACTTCGAAACATCACACACATGTCACTTAATAAAACACACTGAAAGCCGCGTGAAATTCCTACAAGATTTTCTATCGGATTAATATAATAAATTTTCATTTTGAAATGATACGTAATCCGTAATCAATATATGTATATTGTACTCGACGTGTTATGCTATTCGAACGATTAAACACAAAACGTTATGAGAGGTGAAATAATTGAAAATTAATTGCAAAATTTTTAAATGAAAAAGAATAATAACAAAAAAAAAGAGAAATGATAAAATGAAAAAAAGAATATTGCAGAAACGTGGTCACTTGTCACTTCCCAGTTTAGTTTGTTACGATAAGGAATTTGCATTTGAGATATCAAGATAAGACCATGAGCAAAAGAATATTCGAATAATAAATTCAGTGAGACGATGTTTCTGATTACCATAATTGCTTAAGATGCTCGTAAAATTTTCTATGGACGATTAGAAATCGTCATAACGATAAAGAATTATTCAAGATTCTTTGAGTAATACGTATCCCCATTACGGAAAGCTATATATATTTTCGTTTATCAAATAGAAATGTTCATTTTATTCTTGTTAATACTTTTCAACAAAAAAATAGGCAAAAATACAAAAGAAATTAATGTACGATTCAATCAAAAAAAAAAAAAAAATACCCCAAAAAACGTAATTTTAAATTAATAATATTTATTAGGTTGTAAATTTAATTCCTGCCCTTTTTAAACTTTCAAAGTTGATTCTGTTTTGAAATATAAAGTAACTGGATTTTCCTCGAGCAAAAGCACGTGCTGGAAAGACAGCTTATCGCGCGGTTCATTTTCAATCGACTGATAAATAAATCTCTTTGACGTCGAGAAATCTAAAACCATGAAGACCGAATCCATCTAAACTAACCCATTTCCTATTAACGAACGACAGGAATTTCATTTTCAAATTTTAACCCTTTGCACTCGAGACGAATTCGACCAAATTAGGGAAACCTTTTTTTACTTTAAAGTCATTTATAAACAAACAAATGTATACAAATAAATAAATTTCACCAATTTATTTATTTTTATATCAAAAACAACAAAATTTGAGAAATATACTCTGTAATTAAATTTTGTCTAATATATTTCGTAAAACAACACCCAAGATGCATCCTAGGTGTTTATCAGGACACGTATCACAATAATTTGTTACTTCCCACCTATCTCCAGGTGTATTACGATCAGTATAGTCCCTTATCGGCCCTTTAACTAATATCTTTAAGTATATCTTAAAATAAATATCGTAAATAAGCAGATAGAGTAACAAAAGACTTGAAATCAGCTGCCGGGCGCGGTATTGGCGCCATTCGAGTGCAAAGGGTTAAAACGTTTCTAATATAATTGCATTTCAAAAAGAGAATATCAATTTTTTCATTTTATTTATCGAACAATTGTAAGCACGAGATCAAGACAGTAGATAAATAGGATTAAATATGAATATTTATATATGTTTATTATATGTATAAAACATATATTAGATATATAGATGTTATATACATATGCATTGAAGGTGCATCACGAGAAATAATGAATTTAATCATTTGTTGTTTGTAACAAACGAGAACAAATAACAAAAACACATATTGGATAAATAAATAAGTTTTACAAAAGTAAACATTTACCAACACGAAGAAGAATAACCAACGAATTAATGTTGATGTGTGCAAATATGCATTATATGTAATGAACAAGTTGCATTTATCTTTGACTACGTGAAATTTTACTTCAGTAAAGGAATAACAATAGTAATAATAGGAGATAAATAATCATAATTATCATCGACGACATATAAATGTGAAAGATTCGGAACGTCTAAAGGGTGTCAAAAATATTCAAGTCATTGATATGATATAAGAAACGATAATTAATTGTATAATTGTGTAAACAGGAAGAAAATTGATAAAATAAACGATCCTACTAAAGGATTTTGTCCATTTATACCTAGAACAACGCAACCACCTGCAGTTTCCATCAAAATCACAGATAAGAAACACCATGTGTTAAATCGTGTAATATGTGTGAATGTATGTGTGAGTTGTAAATACGTATTTCCACGTATCGTTGCAAAGTGCATAATATAATGTCGTGCATGCAATTTTTATCCCATATATAACATAAAAAATGTTGAACACAATTAATCGAGTGTGTGTTCATTGCATATATCGAATCTCGTCTCATTTCGTATACCTAAATTCTTACCACTTTTGATTAAATGACCGATAAGAAAACAAAAAATAGATTATTGTACTAAATCACTAAATCATCATCTTGTTTTGAGAAATAAACGTGCATGCAAGTAAAAAAGAAGATTCGATATCAAACGTACTACACGTACGTTTATGAAAACCAATCAAGAATTTCAAATTTTAACCACGGAATATAAATTATTATTATTATTGTACGTTATAACGATACTATTTTTTTCTAATATTTAATTAATTTTTTTTTTTTTACAATCTTAGCAGCGACTCTATATTGGCCCTTATTGTGCACAAATTTAATTTCTACATATCCAACATCGATCCAATCACTTATCAATATACCATAGACCGAACTACGATTAAAATTCAACAACTCACTACCAATGAAACTACCTAAAAAAAGAAAAATAATATACGTCTGATATTACACGATATATAAACTGAAATAATTGTCACATAATAATAACTTAATCACGCGTAATATGTATATAAGTGTCTAGCAAATTCGGTTTAGTTAAAAAAATGTTGGCCTTACTTGTTTCAATGTGGGTAGACACATAGTAGTTAGCTAAACATTAAATACATAAATGTATCATACATAAGCGCGATCACAGAAGAGAGGACATCTTTCTTATCAATTTATATACATATATATAAATAAAAAAAAAATTAAAAAAAAATTAAAAACTAAAAAAACCGACTACTCTTAACCTTTTGACTGCTAAAGACGTATATATACGCTCTCACAAATCCATCAATATACACAAAAGCCGTAAATATACGCCCTCTGTATTTTTTTACTATATAACACCTTTATATTACTGTATTAGCGATTAATTTAACATGGAATTTATTGTGATATGTAACATAGCAAGTAAATATTGGCAATTATTTCAATGTCGTTTAGTTAATTGCTTTTATATTTGAAATTCGTCTATTTCCATTTTATTATCTTTATTCGTTCATTATTGTTTTATTATTTTTATAATTAGGTTAAAATTATTCAAATATCCTGTTGTTAAAGTTATTATACTCTGTGTTACATTATAAATATTGTATTTTTTCTTTTATATTTAAAATACCGATTATTATTGAAAGAATGCACAAAATAAATAAAGTAAATTAAAACAGCTTAAAAAATTACTTTAAAAAAATTAAAAAAAATTCATATTTTTATTTTATTTGCCATTATTATCTGTTTTGGTCAGTAGTCAATGGAAAAACAGTCGCAGCGACTGACATGTGAAAACTGACATGCGAAAATCGCGCCGTTCATATTAATGGATTCGTTCGAGAGCGCGCCGCAGTCAAAGGGTTAATCTCAATTTAATATCGTTCGTCTATTATTATCAAAGGTATGTATTGTGTTAGTTAATTTTTTACATACCATACAAATACGTGTCAATGCTATGATGTGAGAGATTGAAAAAAAAAAAAACACCGATAAAAAAAATACGTAAAAATGATTATTAACTTGGATATATATATCGACGCATGGAAAATGACAAGTTTGACCAATATCGCTCGTGCAATTCTCAATCAGATCTTTGATTAGTAACGTTAGTAACTATCATCGTGTTGGATCGAGTTTTTAGACTTATATCAAATATATTTTAATACCTTTTCTTTTTTTATATTATCGCGAAATTTATATTCAATATTACGTAGGTTGGAACTTAAATAGTGGCAACTATTTATTCACAACCGATACAAAAGAGTTACATGTTTGCACCTGTTACTGTCCCTCAAAGTAGTCACCAGCGTTGTGTAGAACCCGTTGCTAGCAATTTGGAAGACGTAGTTTACCGTTGACAGAGCCTGTTTTGTTAATGGTGCGAATGGAGCGGTCTACTGCCTGTCGAATCTCTAGGACAGTTCTGAAGCGAATGCCACGATGGGTTCCGCATGAATTGACGGAAATGCACAAATGGATGCGTTACGACGCTGCTCAGACGCACTTGGAGCGCTATGAGCGCCAAGGAGAGGCTTTCTTACGCCGTATCGTAACACTGGATGAGACATGGCAGTAGTCTGCTCCATTCGCACCATCAACAGAACAGGCTCTGCTAATGGTTTACTACGCCTTCTACATCGCTGGCAACGCGTTCTACACAAGGCTTGTGACTACTTTTAAGGACAGTAACAGGTGTAAACATGTAACTCTTTTGTATTGGTTGTGAATAAATAGTTGCCACTATTTAAGTTCCAACCTACATATATTCGATGGGCATACTTTTTTTTCCAATTAAAAGAAAAATCAATTGTTATATTCGTACATAGTTCTTCTCTAAAATAATTATGGTACGTAACTTCTTGGACGTTTATTTTTTTTTTTTTTTTTTTTCATAGAACCACCCCATCCATTATTTCGAAATACATATTAATACCTTCCCTGCGGCGTATTTGAAAAATTTTTAATTATTTATTAAATATCTATGATAAGTCGTATTGAAAATTTTTATTAATTAAAATTATTTCATACTTTTAACAAATAAAATTACTATATCAACAGAGAAAAAGAACCTAATGAAGAAAAATCTGCTAAAAAATTTTCTAATGATCAAAATATATATATATATGTACTTATGAAAGCTTCAGCTCGTATGTTTTTTGTACTAGTTATACTTGCAAATGATAAAACATTATGCCAATAGTTTATCTAATTATTTTACTATCTTATTAAATATTTTGCTCTTTAAATGATATCTATCTAACATATCTATATTATTAATTGTACGCGTCCAGGGTTTATATTGCTTGGTTTATTTTAGGCGGTAAAATTTAAATTTCGTACGTTCATGCATATCACACGGTACTAAAATTAGTTTCGGCTATAAAAGAAAACGCAAGCTATAATAATAACGTATTTATATGAGAATGCTCGATAAACGTGCGGAAAATGCACGTTAACGATTATATGTACATATAATACATATATATAAAGAACACCTACGCATAAAAGTTAGTGGAAAAAAAAAAAGAATTAAATCGTTTCTCGACATATTTATTTAAAAAATTCAAGCGATCTATTCTTATTATCGAAAAAAATAGTATGCCGCATTAAATGTTAACTATCCTTTCTATATATAAAAAAAAAACAAAATTCTGTATGGTCAGCTTATACGGAAATTAGACAATCATGCAATGATAAACAATTTTTAGCGATGGTATTATTTAAACAAAAGCAAAATGCAAAAACGTCCAGGATAAGAAGTTCCAAGAAGTTTTTGTTGGTTTGGTTCATTTTGTTGTTGTTGTTATTGTTGTAAAAAAAAAAATAGGGCAGTAGGACGGTGGAAAAAAAATACCCCAAAAAAAGAACCGATAAATAAATATATCTATAACATTTAAGAAAGAAGTACATTTTACCTGATCTGCACTCGGGCTCCTCGCTTTATCTTCATTTTCTCGCTTGGAGTCATCTTGCCGCTTGGGACTTCGTAGAACTCGTTGGTAAGGATCACCGCTTCCACCAAGGTCTGTTGTATGCAACACGATCAAAGTGATTTTCTGCACGATATCGATTATTACTAACCCTGTCTCGTTTCCATAGGCCATTCTGAAATTCACCAATTCCACAAACTTTACATAGTTGACTTTTTGAAGTGAAAACTTCTTTAGAATCAGGGTGAAAACTTCTTTAGAATCAGAAGAACGTGAAACGGAAGAACGTGAAACCGATGAAACAAAAATAATTAATTAATTAATAAAATTCTATATATAAAAATTCAGTGCCACAATATGTTTGTCCACTAATAATTCCGAAACTACTCAACTTATCTTAATGAAATTTATTTTATTTCACGTGATTTTTTCCAACTTAGCACATAGCACAATTTTTATCGCGATTTTTTTTTTAATTATTTTTTATTACTAATTTAAAGATTTTTATTTAGAGGTTATCTAGGTTCTGTAAGGTTCTTTCAATAGATGGCACTACATTACAATTCAATTGTTTCGATATATTCACGTCTCGAAGCTTGGTTTTCTTTGAAGGTTTCACTTCTACCGTGTGTGATTTGCACACATCTATTTTTTTATTACTATAAATCTATATATATATATATATAGTGTGTGTATATGGGTGTGTGTGTGTGTGTGTGTGTGTGTATATGGGTGTGTAAAAATTCAATACCTTCTCTTATTATCAATTATTACATGCAAAAAATAATTCTTATGCGATAAAGTACGTTGTGCAAATGAAAACAATCGTTAAAAGTATTATTAACGAATGAAAAAGATATTAAAAAACTGATATGAATTATTAAATAAATAAAAGATGATTGAAATAATAGAAATAATTAAATCGTATACATACAATCCGTAGGATGAATTTAAACTGAGGGCTGTTATGTTTTCAGGTTGCTCTCCACTCGGTGCGATAGTTAAACAAATTAATGTTGCTTGAAAACCAGCGGCTCGTTTTTGCAAACCACTTTTAACTTTCAACGGATGATTATATTCCAATGTGTGTTTAGATTCCCCGGATGAAGAAACATTTCCCGTCGATGGGGCATCATGATCCGGTGAATTTTCTGTTTCTCTCGCTTGATTTTGGCTCAATGGTACTTCTAATGTCTAAACACCGTAAACCACCAAGATTGATCTTCCAGAAACGTCATGATATATTTTTAATCTTACAAATAATATTATCTTAATAGGTACACAACAATATCATGAATAATGTAATATTATGTAATACTCACGACTACTTCCGACATACTTTCGGCTTTCTTAAATTTAAATAATACAACGTATTTTCCCGAGCCAGCGATTGCCAACTTTCGACTTTCAGGACACAGGTAAATGAGTTGTATCGCCAATGGATCTTCCTCCGAGTCAACGCTTCTGGCTCTACTCTTTTCAAAAAGTTTTGCTGTTTTCAATTTGTAAAGAACTTGTAACGTACCGGCAGACGCGTCCCAAAATTTTATACTACCATCCGCATGCCTGTTTAAATATTTCCAAATCATATTTTTTACAATTGCTAATTGGTAACAAAATAATAATTATAATTATTCAGAAATGTAATAATAAAACACTCGCCCTGTTAAAATAATTTCATTGTAACTGCTCGAACTAGAACTCCATTCACCGCCCGAGATCGGCCATTCTTTTTCGCTAAATCCAGTTTTCTTTTGCGATTTAGATCCAACCGAATAAAACGCCGGTACCAAATCCGAGGGACAATCGGCAAAGTACGCGCAACAAGTTACGGGAGATTCGTGTATGTCCATTGGATATGGATTTTCGAAACATGGAAATCCAGGTGTTAACAAATCGATGATCACGAGATCGTTTTGTAGCAAAACCACAACAGCGTAAGGATCCTGGAAATCTGCAAGGAAACACAATCGACAACCCCGTTTCATATGCAAAGCTGGAAAGGATTTTCTTCTCATTCGTAATACAATAAAATTATTTAAAAATCATTAAAAGCAAATGATGTTTTAATAAAATATAAATGATCACGTACCACTTGTCCAAGGACTATCGCAAAGCGTTATAAAATCTACGACATTGTGCTCCATTTCTAAAACAGTCGTGACTTTTCCGTGTATAACCGTAATACTAGGTGTCCTTGCAGTAGTGTCGTACGCTAGACCACCGGAAAAAATGACATACGCCTCCCTATTATAAATTACACAAGTGACAATCTAATTTGTCGCAAATAAAATGAAACAATTTTGAAAGAATAATGGTAGTATATTACGAACCCGGATCTTGACACTTTCCATTCCACTTTTTGTATAGATTTACAGGGTTCCGGTTCTCCCTCTTTGGTGGCTTTCGCTAAATAAGAAAACAAATTGTTGCCAAACAATTTAAAATAGTTATATAAAAGGAAAATAAAGGGACTAACGCAAGAAGAACTATATATATAGAAGAAGTATTGTCTGACATATCCGATAACACAATTATGAGCATAGAGAATCGAAGAGTGGAGGATATTGACTCTCACCGTGTGGATGCGTGACATTTGTTGGCTTTAATTGACGCACCGTCCAAGTCAATAGCGAACCATCGTTGTGACTAGACATAAATTGTTTGCCTTCGTGATGCCATGTTATTGATTTCAAGGGTTCGTCGCTGTGACATCTGTAATCCACGCTCTTCGTTTTCAAATCCCAAAGGACTATCTGTCCACTCTCATATCCGATCAGCATCTGAAAACAAAAAGTTCCGAACTGCGATGGCGTGTACGAGACATTAAGCGGCAAAAAGGTCTTCTTGCCCGACAAAAGACGCATAATGACGGATTTTTAATGATACATACTATTTCTTGCGATTGTTATATTTATTTATTTTTTTTTTACTTTTTTTTTTTTTTTTAATATCACGATAGTCTGAAAATACGTCTCGCAACAAAATGCATTCTGCATACACATAATGAAAACGCATATGAAAACTGTGATGAATGAAAAATGCGTATGTGATGATATCGTATCCCACGAGCTCTCTCTCTCTCTCTGCAAAAGATTACTCTGTAATTTATAATAATCGATAATAATGATAGCAACAATAATAATGAAAATGACAATAGTAATAATAATAATAATAATAATAATAATAACAATAAGAAGAAGAAGAAATATTAATTACATGTACTGTTAAACAATAACTACTGTGATTCATACTAATTTGTAAGTTTTGCGACTTTCTTACCGAAAAGATAAGATAATGATCGATGTGGTATAATAGTTGTTACGAATTGATCACCCATAGTGTCATTAACAAACAAGAGTTCAATTTCTACGACCTACTGGTCTGATATGGAGGCTTTTTACATTGAAGTTCTCTCGAACTAATCTATAGATGAATCATTTCAATTCTATGTCAGATAAATAAAATGCTTGGATCATCCAATGACTACTTTGATTGATTTATTATACAAAAGATCTTCGAACTTTCGAACTTTAATTACTGATGCTCGAGAAGGGGTGGTAGGTATTCATCATGAATAATACATTCGTGTCGTTATTAAACTGAAATCAAATCTAATTGTAAGTCAAAATTGATAGCAATCAAATTTACTCTTGATTATCTGGAAAAATATTTCACACCTTTTTCAAAAATGTGTGTAAAAAAAAAAAAGACATAAACCTTGGAAAAATATACATTATCGTTTAATTATTTCAAATTTAGCGAAACAAATTATCTTTCCAGACAATCTGAAAAAAGATAAATATTAGGTCGAGTCATAAGTAACTTCCGATGCGTCTATGTAGAATCTATTTTTCGTATTTACCTACTATAAGTCACCGAAACAAACGGATTTTTGATATCACTGTATAGATAAAGATTCACTTGGTCTTCTGTCAACTTTTTTATGTAGTCAATATTACATTTAAACGTTTTTCTTAACCACTGAAATGGATAGTAAAAAGTGCATATTCAATATGTAATGCTTTAAGAATTGAAACAAGGCAATAGCAATAAGGTGGCAACTGAAAAAATATGCAACGTATACGGTGCAGGATTGATAACTGATAGGGCAGTCAGAAATTGATTTGTAAAATTCCGTTCTGGAGATACGATCTTAAAAGATGAACCGAGTGCAGGACGTCTTTCCAACTTTGACGAACCTTTTAAAGGTAATATTAGAGCAAAATCTAATAGATACGTTCAACAGTTGCAAAGAATGCAAAAAAAAACTCCATAAAAGGTGTTTTGCACTTATCAGTCGCAGAAACACCATTCTTTGTCTCATAAAAAACGAAAGTTATTTATGACTCACCCTAATAATAATAATAATAGATAAAATAGATCTGAAGCGAATGCACGAATCGATCTTCCTGTATTATATCCGATGTAGGTTAGCTCATTAAAATAATCTTAAACGACGTTGCTATCTACTCAAGGTTGTAATTGAGATTTTATAACTACCGTAGATCAATATAAACTTAACAACAGTAGTATAGAGCATACTCACGTATAGAACAATTATTTATCAGAATCATAACTGGATTATCAAATTTGTCTGTACTTTAAAATATTATTATCGCACGTTCCTCGTTTTAATCGCATTTCGTCAAAATACACAATAACAATTTTTCAATTATAATTAATAAGGATTCATCAGAATTATCGATACCAAACTCTTGGTGTCTGTAAACTTTCTTTTAATGTGTATAATGTATATATTATATATCGTTGTTTGTAAAACGCTTTTTATATTTACATTTAACACGTACAACACGTGCCTGCTGACAATATAAAGCCTGAAATTAGCAACGACAAAATACAATGAATAAAATAAATATTCGTACGCTATTTTTAATAATCGTATAATTCTTTTCTAAATTAAATCAAAATTAATGCCATATCGATAAGAAAATAATGTTAACAATACTTATAATCAAACATTTTTGTCAAGTTGATTTTCATCAAAATTGATATATCATATAGATCTGTCTATCTATTTTATATTCTGTAAATATCATCTAACTCGATCGTTTCTAGAACGAGTTATAAAATCGCTATTATATTACTACTGTATAGTAAAATTCAACACTTCAATACTACTTTAAAAAGATTTAAAAATATGTATAAATCGTACTAGGATTGACCGAGTTTGATGATATTTACAGGATGTATAAAAGGCGAGTATACAAAATGAAAGTATATCAGAATCTACGAAATATATAATATACTCGCTTTTATGAAGAAGCTTTTTATAAAGTATTATGTATTGTTCTTTTTTTTTTATTTATTATGTATTATTTTCATATTACACGCGAAGAACTTTTTCATTCCTATTAAAAAATTCAGATCTCATTCTATTTTTTTTTTTTTTTTGAATTTGTATAAAATTCTTTGATTTGCAAATAGCATGAGAATATTTTTCGTATTCACTGTATATTATAAGCAAAGGTATGACAAAGTAGCATTACATTTGAAATATTTACATACGTACACATTATCCGATAGACGATTATATTTCCGACAAGTAGAACTTACACGTCAATGGGCAAAGAAAATATTCTACGATGATAAATTGAATAAAGTGTGATAAACCACGATTCAGTTGCAATCCGTAAGTTCGGATAGCATATATAATCGTTAAAAAGTGTGACGTTAAAAAATCGATTAGAAATTTATGGTAGTTAGACGTCAGCCCTTCTCGATCTTCGATTCCAAGTGGCTTGGAAATTTGGATGACTCTGCATTTTTACATGTTGCTCCCTCCTTGCTTGCTTTTCACCAAAAGAAAATATTAGGTGATTCGGAAAGTCGTTTCGTTTTTCTTTTGTAAAAATGAAGACAATTTTTGCTTCGAAGTTAAACCTAAACCTTTCAAGTGGTCATAAATAGTTGAATTTGATAAATTTAACCTCTCATCGATCTCATGGGTTACTATTTGTCGGTTTGCATCAACTAATGCCATTATTGCGTCAGCAAAAAACGAAACGACTTTCAGAATCACCTAATAGAACAAAAAATCAATTGAATCATCTTTTAACCGATGTATTATAAGATAGGATCGAGAAAAGTTGCGTCTAACGATGATACTTAAATTTTCGTTAAAGGAAAAAAGGCATCGGTTAGTATTATACAAAGTTCATCGATACGATCAACAATTAAAAGCATGCATGCATGCACACACACAACATGCAAGCACACACTTCTGCCACTTAATGGGATTTAAATACAAGACATTCGTCAAGAAATAGAATAAAATAGAAGACAAATTTGTAATAGGAAAAAAAAAATGAAAAAAAAAAAACATTTTGATAAATCGCGATGATTGATTGGTCTTCGATCATAAATACGTCAAATTATAATAGAAGAATTCTAATGAAAGGATCGAAATACGAGAAAAATTATCCGTTCTAATAAAAGTTTTTTTCTCCTAAGGTAAGATCCTTCGTTCGAAAGTTAGGTCAGAGAAAAAGAGAGAAAAAGAGAGAAAAAGAGAAAGAAAAAGAGAGAAAGAGAGTGAGAAATAGAAGTTTTTCTTGCATTCTTACCCCGACAATCTGAAATAGCACGAATAACGACACGTCACTTTCGTTATAGATTCGTTCGAAATTTTTCTACGTTCAAATACTTGACAAACCGATCACTTAACTCGAACTTTGTTTTCTCTAAGCGTACACCATAAATCACACTTTCTCCGGATATGAAAAAAAAAAGAGAAAAAAAAACAAGAAGCTATGCGGAACGATAGACGATTAACCTCGAGAAGATAATAATGTAACATCGCAAGCAACATGGCAGATATTCAAAAATGTGTTCCGCCCACGTATTTATGATCCAAGAATAATATGAATACTGCCGTTTTTATACATCTTACACATAAAAATACAACCTATCTTTATATTATATTTGTTTTTATATATATATATTATAAATATATCAGTGAAAAATATTATGGTTATAAAGGATGGATAAATAATGCAAAAGAAACGTACTCAAAAGCGCGCGTACCTTGCTCAAATCTAAAGGATTATCACTCAAGTGTACTACAGCACCAGGATGGGTCTTTCTAGATCTGAAAAATATATATATACATACATGTGTATAACATTATTCTTGCCTTGTTTCCTTGTTTATTGTTTTTTTTATTTTTTTCTTTTTTTTTTTTTGGAAGGGAAGAGGAGAACAATTTCTTTCTTATTTTTTTTTTTCGTCTTGGTTTCCATCAAGTAAAAATATACATTAAAATCCGTTCCATTTTCATATTAGTGAGGGAGAAAAAAGAAAAAGGAAAAAAGTGGTGGTATGTGTGATCTATTACATGCTTCTGGCCTTTATAAAATTCGTACTCTCTCGTCTAGTTTTTTCTTTTTTTTTTTTTTGTTATTATCATCACACGTCAAGACGTTCATCTAATGCACCTGCGGGCATAACACAAAAAGTAAACACAACGATAATTAGGAAAGGCAACGGAGTAGTAGTAGTAATCACTGGAGCTGGACGACGTTCAAGAATTTATGGACTATTCCGAACCGGCCCCGGCCAAAACCTTATTTCAACTTTGCTCTTTAAAAACCACCGTCAATTATAACCAAGTGTAAGGAAAAAAGAAAAGAAAAAAAAAGATCTAAATCGATACGAGCTGTAATAAATCTTCTCTCGCTTAAATCATTTTTAAAAGCAAGGATTATAAAAGGAAAGAATCGCAAAATCATTACCGCTCACACCCGCATATACAAACAGGGGGTGGTGGTGGTGGTGGTAATGGTAGTGGTAGTGGTGGTGGTGGTGGTGGTGGTTGTGCATTCAAGTTTTCAATTAATATCCGTCATTTGTTCCATTTGAAATATTGGCCCAGACTAAATTCGATGGCCCATATTCAAAACGCATTGTTTGACGATAACAACCCGACCAAGCCCTTTTGCTTTTCGTAGGTTAAAGAGCCGATTCTTATAGGTGTACGTACGTACCTGACATCGAAGATCTTGAAAAACAAAAGGGTTCTCTAATAGCTCTAAAGAGGACGTTCTGAATACAGGCCCTTTACGTTTCTCTTCCCTTTAGCATGCATATTCATATAACACGAAATGGCAAACGGAAAATCGAGGGTTCGTATTAACGACAGCGGCCTATTCTTTTGTGTTATTTTCCCTTCTCTTCTCTTCTTCTCTTCTAGTTTTTTTTTCTTTTTTCTTTTTCTTTTTCTTTTTCTTTTTTCTTTTTTTCATTTTTTTTTCCTTTTTTTAGTATTGAGTACTGCGCAACACCATCTTCGTATGTGACATAGCTATAACTACTCGATACAGAGAAATAGTAAGTACTCTGTAATCTTACTCTCCACACCCTTTCTTTCTTTCTTTCTTTCTTTCTTTCTTTCTTTCTTTCTTTCTTTCTAACAATAAAAAAAGTACCTTTTCTTTTTAACCCTTTGATTGCGGTGCGCTCTCGAACCAATCCATTAATATGAACGGCGGAATTTTTCGCATGTCAGTCGCTGCGACTGTTTTTCCATTGACTACTGACCAAAACAGATAATAATGGCAAATAAAATAAAAATATGAATTTTTTTTAATTTTTTTAAAGTAATTTTTTAAACTATTTTAATTTACTTTATTTATTTTGTGCATTTCTTCAATAATAATCGGTAATTTAAATATAAAAGAAAAAATACAAAATTTATAATGTAAAACAGAGTATAATAACTTTTAACAGGATATTTGAATAATTTTAACCTAATTATAAAAATAATAAAACGATAATGAACGAATAAAGATAATAAAATTAAAATAGACGAATTTCAAATATAAAAGCAATTAACTAAATGACATTGAAATAATATTTAGTTGCTATGTTACATATCACTATAAATTCCATGTTAAATTAATCGGTAATATAGCAATAAAGGTATTATAGTAAAAAAAATACAGAGGGCCTATGTATATTTACGCCTTTCGTGTATATTGATGGATTTGTGAGAGCGTATATATACGCCTTTAGCAGTCAAAGGGTTAAGCATGACCGTACAAGGTGTTACACAATCATCATGTGACTATCGAGAAAGCATTAGCTTATCGTGGTTATTAATCAAAGTTTCAAGATAATATCTAGGTTTTAATTTATTGTAATTATTATACTAGAATAATAAATGAATTATAAATTATCATTAACGAGATGATCCAACGAATTAAAAAAATACGCTGTAAAGAAAATATTTCGTTGGATTTATATACGTATAGATAGAATGCGACAACATTTCTGATATATTCGTGGGCTAAAAAAAGGAAAGAATCAAATGTAAATGTTGTTACATTTTATGTAAGTAATAGTACAACCTGGCCACTGTGGTACCGGTTAAACATCCGGATACAATCCATCACTGGTGGCACATTGTGATATCATCTCGCAATCAGTCGCGACGCGACATTACCGCGTACCATTCATGTAAACCAAAACTATATAATAATTCGTGCTTGTTGCACGATTTACTACATTCGATATCTCAATTAACATAACAACTTGTTAGCTTATTTATTTTAGATGTACATCATATTATATATTAAAATGCTACAGATAAAAAAAAAATATATATATATATATATATATATATATATATATATATATATATGTACTACTCGATTTCCTTTGGCATTGGTGTCACGTTTTCAAAAAAAAAAAANTTTTCTTTTATATTTAAAATACCGATTATTATTGAAAGAATGCACAAAATAAATAAAGTAAATTAAAACAGCTTAAAAAATTACTTTAAAAAAATTAAAAAAAATTCATATTTTTATTTTATTTGCCATTATTATCTGTTTTGGTCAGTAGTCAATGGAAAAACAGTCGCAGCGACTGACATGTGAAAACTGACATGCGAAAATCGCGCCGTTCATATTAATGGATTCGTTCGAGAGCGCGCCGCAGTCAAAGGGTTAATCTCAATTTAATATCGTTCGTCTATTATTATCAAAGGTATGTATTGTGTTAGTTAATTTTTTACATACCATACAAATACGTGTCAATGCTATGATGTGAGAGATTGAAAAAAAAAAAAACACCGATAAAAAAAATACGTAAAAATGATTATTAACTTGGATATATATATCGACGCATGGAAAATGACAAGTTTGACCAATATCGCTCGTGCAATTCTCAATCAGATCTTTGATTAGTAACGTTAGTAACTATCATCGTGTTGGATCGAGTTTTTAGACTTATATCAAATATATTTTAATACCTTTTCTTTTTTTATATTATCGCGAAATTTATATTCAATATTACGTAGGTTGGAACTTAAATAGTGGCAACTATTTATTCACAACCGATACAAAAGAGTTACATGTTTGCACCTGTTACTGTCCCTCAAAGTAGTCACCAGCGTTGTGTAGAACCCGTTGCTAGCAATTTGGAAGACGTAGTTTACCGTTGACAGAGCCTGTTTTGTTAATGGTGCGAATGGAGCGGTCTACTGCCTGTCGAATCTCTAGGACAGTTCTGAAGCGAATGCCACGATGGGTTCCGCATGAATTGACGGAAATGCACAAATGGATGCGTTACGACGCTGCTCAGACGCACTTGGAGCGCTATGAGCGCCAAGGAGAGGCTTTCTTACGCCGTATCGTAACACTGGATGAGACATGGCAGTAGTCTGCTCCATTCGCACCATCAACAGAACAGGCTCTGCTAATGGTTTACTACGCCTTCTACATCGCTGGCAACGCGTTCTACACAAGGCTTGTGACTACTTTTAAGGACAGTAACAGGTGTAAACATGTAACTCTTTTGTATTGGTTGTGAATAAATAGTTGCCACTATTTAAGTTCCAACCTACATATATTCGATGGGCATACTTTTTTTTCCAATTAAAAGAAAAATCAATTGTTATATTCGTACATAGTTCTTCTCTAAAATAATTATGGTACGTAACTTCTTGGACGTTTATTTTTTTTTTTTTTTTTTTTCATAGAACCACCCCATCCATTATTTCGAAATACATATTAATACCTTCCCTGCGGCGTATTTGAAAAATTTTTAATTATTTATTAAATATCTATGATAAGTCGTATTGAAAATTTTTATTAATTAAAATTATTTCATACTTTTAACAAATAAAATTACTATATCAACAGAGAAAAAGAACCTAATGAAGAAAAATCTGCTAAAAAATTTTCTAATGATCAAAATATATATATATATGTACTTATGAAAGCTTCAGCTCGTATGTTTTTTGTACTAGTTATACTTGCAAATGATAAAACATTATGCCAATAGTTTATCTAATTATTTTACTATCTTATTAAATATTTTGCTCTTTAAATGATATCTATCTAACATATCTATATTATTAATTGTACGCGTCCAGGGTTTATATTGCTTGGTTTATTTTAGGCGGTAAAATTTAAATTTCGTACGTTCATGCATATCACACGGTACTAAAATTAGTTTCGGCTATAAAAGAAAACGCAAGCTATAATAATAACGTATTTATATGAGAATGCTCGATAAACGTGCGGAAAATGCACGTTAACGATTATATGTACATATAATACATATATATAAAGAACACCTACGCATAAAAGTTAGTGGAAAAAAAAAAAGAATTAAATCGTTTCTCGACATATTTATTTAAAAAATTCAAGCGATCTATTCTTATTATCGAAAAAAATAGTATGCCGCATTAAATGTTAACTATCCTTTCTATATATAAAAAAAAAACAAAATTCTGTATGGTCAGCTTATACGGAAATTAGACAATCATGCAATGATAAACAATTTTTAGCGATGGTATTATTTAAACAAAAGCAAAATGCAAAAACGTCCAGGATAAGAAGTTCCAAGAAGTTTTTGTTGGTTTGGTTCATTTTGTTGTTGTTGTTATTGTTGTAAAAAAAAAAATAGGGCAGTAGGACGGTGGAAAAAAAATACCCCAAAAAAAGAACCGATAAATAAATATATCTATAACATTTAAGAAAGAAGTACATTTTACCTGATCTGCACTCGGGCTCCTCGCTTTATCTTCATTTTCTCGCTTGGAGTCATCTTGCCGCTTGGGACTTCGTAGAACTCGTTGGTAAGGATCACCGCTTCCACCAAGGTCTGTTGTATGCAACACGATCAAAGTGATTTTCTGCACGATATCGATTATTACTAACCCTGTCTCGTTTCCATAGGCCATTCTGAAATTCACCAATTCCACAAACTTTACATAGTTGACTTTTTGAAGTGAAAACTTCTTTAGAATCAGGGTGAAAACTTCTTTAGAATCAGAAGAACGTGAAACGGAAGAACGTGAAACCGATGAAACAAAAATAATTAATTAATTAATAAAATTCTATATATAAAAATTCAGTGCCACAATATGTTTGTCCACTAATAATTCCGAAACTACTCAACTTATCTTAATGAAATTTATTTTATTTCACGTGATTTTTTCCAACT